TTATATTTATCGGTCTCAGTCCCGTCAGTGGTTGAGCCGGGTGGTGGCTGTGGTCTCACATGTTTTTCTTTATTTTTATCGCTTATATTTATCGGTCTCAGTCCCGTCAGTGGTTGAGCCGGGTGGTGGCTGTGGTCTCCACATATAAATTTATTTTTCAGAAGATGTCCAATTGACACAGTAGTGCCGAGAACGTCACTAGCGTCAGAATTGGCCGTGTTAGCAATTTTACCTAGAGTCGCCTCTGGTCAGGGAGATAAGCACGTGTTGATGACGATGCCTAAATACCCCGACCTTTTTCGTCGGCATCATGTTGGTGTTTCACAGGGCATTCTGAAAAGTACAATCAACGTGGTCGATCTCTCTGCGCAGACTTACTGGCCACTCGCTACGTCATTACATGTGTTTTTGTATTCAATATTCATACGATTATAGTGGTGTTTACTAATATTTGGATTTTTAATTGTAATTAATATTTATACCCCCTTCGTTTTCTAACAATATATTGCAGATAAATTTAAAACTAAAAATTATCATGTGTTTTCCAAATACTTTCAACCTCCGATTATAAGAGGGACCCCAAAGCGGAACGTATCATTGGTTTATTCGCAACTCGAGACTTTTCAATTGGGAACTCTACCCTTTTAAAAACTGAAAACTTCGCAACTCGAGACTATAAATTTATACCTGTAGAGAATTCACAATTGGGAGCTTGTTTAGCGCCGTTTTAACACGTGATTGGCCACCCAGGAAATACATCTATGCAGATTTGCCTTTATATGTTAATGGTATTCAACTAGTTCCTGAATAATGAACAGTGGAAAAAATTGAGAAAATGGAAAAAATTAAATTATGAAAATATATGGTTATATAAATGTGTATAAACGACACTTTATTTCAAAAAAAAATACATGTATAGGGGTGAACCAAAAAGTTGGTTGTGAGTGTCACTGTTTTACAATATACCCTGAATATTATCGTAATGGTTTCTGAACAAAAATATATACTTCAGGCATTATATACAAGAAGAGTAAAAAGTTATATAAAGTTGAAATATACAAAAATTGCAATTTTTCACAGAACCCCCTGTAGAGAGATAATTAGTCAAATCAAGTATGATTTTGATATATTAAAACAACAAGTTTATTTTTCACAAGTTAATCCATGTTCCTTTGACTAGGTTTTTTTTTGTATGGTATCAATTTTTTTATTACTGCCTTCTAGTGATTTTAACTTAAATATTAATGTCACGCAATAGTTATTAGGTATGTCATTGTTTAAACTTTTTAAGAATTTTAGTCCTTACCTTAGAGGGTTTTCAAATAGTTACTAATAATTTTGACAAAATAAATCTTTTATAAACGTTTTCGTTTATCAATTTCATAAAATTTTTGTTTATTGAAATAATGTAAATGATAATGCTTTCACTGTTCAACACCGTCTTTGAGGTCATAAAAATAGCGCGTTAGTGGTTCTTCTCCAGTAGGTATACACTAAGACCTTATTTGTGAATTTCCTTGTATATACACAGTGCGACCCTATATTTTGAAAATTTTAAGGAAAATCCACCAAGAATTTTTTCCAGATTATTAAAATAGTATTGTTCATTAAAAATATTGACTGCAGATCCTTTTTGTTAATTTTTTTTTTACTTTTTAGGCATAATGGGTCCTATGATTGAACGTTTACGTTATACGTAACGTACATGTTAGGCCGAGTTTTAGCAGCAACGAGGCAAGTCCGTATGATGGAAAACTTTTTCCAACACATTACTGTTATATTTTCCGCCTGTTATGTTCTAATTTAACGGTTTTCCATCATACGTACTTGCCTCGTTACTGTTAAAACTCGGCCTAACATGTACGTTCCGGATAACGTAAACGTTCAATCATAGGACCCAATATCTCCTAATAAATGAATTTAAAAAAATGACATACGGATCTTCAGAAAACATTGAAAAAAGTTAAACCAATAATAATAATATACTAATAAATAATTTATATTGCGCGTTAATAGCTCAATTAAATCGCAAACTATTTTATTTTTTTTTTTAACATCTAAAAACTACAAACTTTTTAATAACGTTTAAACATAAATGAAACAAAGTACATACGCAACTAGTAAATAATCATATATTAAAAAATAAACTAAATCCTATTAGACGAAAATTCAACAACTGCTCTTAAAAGTCGCTGACCAAAGCGTTAGTCGTCAACTTTATTCATTTTGTGTTTATTCCAGACAGTCAGGAATTCTCTGTGAATGTGTAGACCAAATTCCTAAATCAGTGTCTAAATAGGAAACGCTGTCTTTAAGATGATGCAATATTTGCAATGAATTTTAAGAGTTATAGTGATACCCCGGAATCCTTTAAAACTGCTTCCAAATGTTTAAGATCAGTGTTCGTTGTACTGAAACATTTTTCCACGATTTTATTCATCACATTGAATGACGCGACAAATGGCATAACCAGGTTGATTTACATTTTCCAGTACTTCTTTTGATGTAAATTCATTGGCATGCTTTAGGAGCTATCTGCATTGCACAAAAACATCCCATCTACGTTAATAAGCTGCAATTTTAGGCTCTTTAAGCTCGCATGCGATGTACTTTTAATGTACCCCTAATATCCCTGCAACCGTCGAATGTCAGCAACGGCAAGACTTTTATAGTACATCTCACAGATGTTACAAAGTGAAGTTCGAAAAACATCACACTAGCACTTTTACGGTACTTACCCCGAAAGTTGCTCTGAAACGTTCTATAGATGTTATAATATGAATTAGTTCTACAGCATTATACAGTGTGTCCACGGATGGGCTTAACTATACCTGTGAAAATATTTATTTTAAATTAAAATAGTAATTCTTCATAATATCTTTTGCTTGTTAAATAAATTCGATTCACATTGAGAAATTATGAAAAAAAACTTTCTTTTAATTTAAAATAAATATTTTTACAAGTATAATTAAGTCCATCCGTTGACACACTTTGTGTAATGTAATACAGCTGAAATTGAGACTATAGTAAAATCGCAATCGAGACATGAAAATTTCAAATAAAACAAAATATTTATATAAATGTATTATTAAAATGTTCTTGAAATCAAGTACTAATATATCACAAACGTAGATGTAGGTGTAGACGTGTTCTTTTATTCAGCGCTGCATCCAGCGCTTGCAGCAAACCGTTCGTAAATTAAGCGATGGGAAGACGATTGTATGTGTCAATCATTCTTTTTTCCAGCGGTGCAAGTTCACCATCGGCTTCTTATTTTCAGAGCAAATATCTTGCACCAGAAATTAATCAGTGACATCAATCACTGATGGAATAATTATTGAATAAAAGAACACACCTTATATCACAAACACAATTACACATGTGGGATAGAAGAAGCTACCTATAAAGCACCTGAACGATTGGACAAAATTAGCTAAATAGTATAAGGCACCAATATTGCAAAGGTTCACTAAAACCTTAAACGGTGAACGATGATAACTCTAGATTGGTGAATAATAATAAACGAATACAACAATGCATGAATACATATTTATTATATTAGATTACTAGAGGATAGCTAAGTTCCATGATTTCTTCCCTCTAGACGCAGAGATATATCATATTTTTTTTTGTATAGATATTTATAAAATGCTATAATGTAACCTAAATAAGACAAATTTTTAGAAGAGCATAACTTATATTTTTATATAAAAATATTTTACTTCTCAATACATTGAATAAAAAATAACATCCAAGCAAGATTCAAATGCGTTGTTGCCAATAACGTCACTTTAATCTGCGACGACAATGTGGATCTTGGACATTATCTACCGATAGATAAAGATGCAAGCTACACTCCGGCAACGTTCCATTTTACCAATCGCTTGGAAGACGTGTGAACAGTTTAAAAATAGACCAGTCAAATTACTAAAATTATTTCAACAAAATGATATTTGTTCTGAAGGTAATAAACAAATGAATTAGTTATTCAAAAAATTTATAAAGATAGCGATCTTCTCAATTTTTTTGAAACTATCTGTACGTATAGCCTTTGAAGAGTGAGTAGAAGAAAAAGGTTAAGTAGAAGAAGAAGGTTTTCGTAAATTTGTAAGAGATTAAATAAATTTTGCAATACCCGACTAATTTGTTTATTAATTAATACTGAATATTCTGCTTTTGTCGGTATTTAAAAAATCAACAACTATTAAAAATACCTTTTTTTGTACAGGGTATACGTCTAATTTGATTGGCCTATAAAATTTCTTTACAACATGAGTCACTATCTACAATTGTGGTATTCTACTGTACTTTGATCAGATTGGCAAATGTCTGATCTTGCGGGTTTTGCGGACTGCACAGACTTTCCATGAGCTCAAAAGTTTCATCTCCCACTGCAGTTATTAACACAGCTGTCTTCATATTTTCTTCAACTGTATTCACTTTGAAATATTGTTCTATGCATGTCGCATACGAAGTCCAATTACCTTCGACTAATTTAAAGTGTTTCAATTTGCCCACTGACATTTTTACACTTTTAATTAAATTGTTATTTAATTTATCAGTTCTCAGTTAATTTAAACTTATTACTGACTTTATTACTTTAGGAACTACAATATTTTTTATATTTTTCCCTCAATTCCAATTTATAATAAAACTCGATTGAATGCTGAATTAAAAGTGTCTTTATTCGGTGATTCCACATTATCGCCATATAGCATAAAACAGTACAAGATACCAGAATAGAAATCAATTGTATAGGGTGATGTCTATATATAATAATACAGTTTATTAAATACATTACAAAAAGGTTTAAGAAAAGAAATTTAAATACTAATTTCACCTCCATGTATATAACAGCCTGTGAAATATCGCCTAACTCTATTGTTAAAGATTGTTTGTGAATTAGGGGGTTAAAGTAATAAAAATCTGTTAAACAAATAATACAATTTATTTACAAAAATTTTAATACATAATTCCTATGAAATAATAACTTTTTAATTTTAAACTAAATTATATTTGGAAAAATAGAATTAAACAATAGATAATAATAATAATAATAATATATGTACATAAGTTTAATATTTAAAATAAAGCAATTCCCTTTACATTTGAATCAATTAACAAAACATTACAAAAATAAATAACATACAAATCAACTGACTTGGACATATAAATAGAATGTGAATGTATAACCTTATTAAAAAAGGATATAGTAGTATTGGGAAGAGGAATAAGGGGAAGTGGACGAAATTCAAAGAAAACTGGTTATTATGGAATAGATAAATAGGTGTGAGTTGAAAAAATATCAGAGACATGAGAAAACTATCGATGGACCATAATGGATAGCTGGATCTGGAAAATTACAACTTGAGCATTATTTAGCATTTACATAGCACTAAAGCTGCTACAAATAAAAATTTAAATAGTGCATTTTTAATACAAATGTTATACAAATAAACTACTCCCACTCTTTCATAATTAAATCATACTCATGTTCTTCTATAAAAGGCTTGTCGATATTCCTTATCATATTTTCTCCACAGTACAGACATTCTGAAGCTAAAATGTTGTCTATTTCAGATTTAATCATATCTCTAGTTGACATTCCAGTGGAACCTGTACTTAAATTGTCTATATTTATAGAATTGTTGTAAGTCTGTAGTTGTTTGTCCAACTCCTTCAGTCTGTTCCTCTTTGCGGGACCTACAATACATTTGTTTCTCAAAAATAGGTGAAAAAAGGGAAAAAATGATAATTTAGCTTGTAAGACATTTCGGAATTTCTATTTGTTATATTTACAAAAAAAAACATTAAACAAATTCAATAGAATATAAATCTATTGATATATATTGACGTCAAAAATCCTAGCCGTAGTATTTTTATTTTTTTACAAATACAAATCGTTAGAAGTAATAAAGGGACCGAGCATAAACTGAAATTAAAGGCTTATGGTAAGATTTTCGAGTATTATTCTGAAAATATCATTCACGATTATTAAATTAATTGCAGGTTTGTCGACCCTACATTTAAAAGTAGACGAGATGGTTTCTTAACATTATAAACAACCGAGAGCAAAATATTCAAAGGGCTTCGCTAAAAGAACGTACATTTTTGAAAAAAGGGTTTTCTACAGGAACTTTTTAGTAAAAAGTAGTTACACATAATTTTATAGAAGAAAACAAGGACCCGTTGGACTTCAGAAGAAACATACAATGTATATTTATATCTCAAATAAAAGATATGTTTTATGAGTTTCTAGGATGTATGAACAGTATGTGTATATACATACAATACACGAAGGAGATATTACATATTATTGGAGTACTTAAATAAATCATCCAAGACCATATCTCAGATTTATATTAGCAGCGCACTTTTGTAAAGTTGAAATCCCCAGCAAGGGATACTTTAAATTATTTCTGAGGTAAAGAAAGCAGCTTTCACTCAAATATCTTCTCGTGAATGCTTTACAAACTTTGAATGTTTTACAAACTTCGAATGCTTTACAAACCTATTCTCTAAAATACCCTTGTTTTCTTCTTTAAAATGATTTGTAACTATGTACTTTTTACTAAAAACTTCCTGTAGCAAACCCTTTTTTCAAAAATGCATATTCTTTTAGCAAAGCCCTTTCACTTTTTTGCTCTCGGTTGTTTTTAATGTTAAGAAACCACCTCTGCTTTTAAATGTAGGGTCGACAAACCTGCAATTAATTTAAAAATAGTGAATGATATTCGTATCTGAATCATGCAACACCCTTTATACCACTATGTTATTTTAAAATGTGACCCTTAAGCCACCCTATAAATTTTGTTAATACATTTTTTTATATCTTTTAACAGGCAGTGAGAAGGTAGATGACCACCACACACCAAAGATAAGAGGACTAAACCCACGCGTGGCTACTGAGGTACTAAACTCTCAAGGCCTCAAATATCCACCATTGTAGGATTACTAATGGGACATTGCTTGCTGAAACACCTTCATGTGATGGGATTACACAATGATATCCCATCACGTGTAGACTCTGCATGGAAGCTCTTGCTATGCGGCGTCTCACCCTTTTCGGCCCAGAACCAGAAAGAACGCTCCAGGAACACTTGGTAGGGAACTTATTAAAACTAATTAAAGGTACATGACCATTCCAAAGATAGTAACTGAATACGGGGAAAGCAAAGGAACACAATAGACCCAAGAGGCTGCAATCTGGACCAAAAATAACCCTACCTGCTTATAACCGACAAAGATATATCTGTTACAATAAGGAAGATATCAAACTTTTCCACAAGATTGGTACACCCTGTATATACACTAATTTAGAGAAACGATGTACTTGTTTATAGAAGTTTACCACTTCATGCTATTGTTGTAAGACGAGACAACAACGAGGTGAATTTACTGACCTCACGCATTTCGGTGAGTGCGACAGGAGAACGATGCACCACATTTTGAAGAGATGTGGCTTAAGCGGAGGTTAAGCGACAAGTGCAGCATCGATTAACGAAAACGATATATTTGCCTATGAGAGGCATGCCGGTTCGGAAATGAAGAAGGAGAGACCAAAACGACAACTCGTCGATTCTTTTGTGTGATGGAATACACCACTCCCCTCGTCATTGTAGAATGGACTCGTCCAACTGAGGAGCGCATGACAACAAGAAACGAAAATTCGTTAGAAATTTTAGTGAATGTAAGCGACAACAGAAGCGACTGTAAAGAAGACCGCTGCATTTGGGAAGCAAGAAGACAGGCGACCGGACAACCGCAGACGACAATTCGAGGAACGATCAGTGATGCCAGAACTATTGTTTTTAAGTAGATCCACTGTTTTTGTCTCTGTTCTCCTGTTTTAGGCATGAAATCTACTGTTTTCGCCAACTTAACAAATTTTGTTCTTAATTTATTAAGTTTGCCTCATTCTTCAGCAAATGGTCAAAGAATATTTTCTCTAGTAAATTTACTGAAGTAAAAGCAGCGTAATAAGCATCCATTACTGTAGGTTTGCTCCATAAAAAAACCCTCAAGATAATCATTATGTTTTTATTTAAAATGCAACAAAGAATTAATAGGGCATCATAAAAAGAACATGCATGCCAAACACAACGTATTTGAATTATCTGATTCAGACTGATCTAAAAGAAATACCTATTATTTTTAATTTTTTTTTTGTTTCCGTGCGTTAAGTATATATTAAAAATGTTATTATTTGTTTTTATTCTTTGTTTACCTACTTTCTAATTTAGGTAGAAAAATGTTTATTTTTCGTTTCTTACATACTTGTTTTTTTTTTATTTACTACATTGCAAATTATAATTATTTCCTCCTGAATTAAAATCTACTGTTCAGATCCACGGTTTTTTTCACCCATACTGTTCCAGCAAATTTTCATCAGAAACACTGCCTACATCGAAAGAACTTTGCAACTACCATTTCTATAAAATATCGACTAATCACATCGAAATACAAGCGATGACTGAGGACTGAGTGCGACAGGCTGCAAACGCTCTACCCCTAGACCGATCTACCTGTCGTCGACTTCTGTATCTCGCACTGGTCGCGTCTTGCGAAATGTGTTTTATATAATTGCATGGGTTCAGACGTGAAGAGACCGTTCTTGGTCTCCTTTGTCGTCGCTTCTGAGGTCGTATGTCGTCATTCACGCGTTCCGAAATGGTACCTTAACAAGGCAAGACGCTGCGAACTAAAAGGCAGATTGTGTTGAAATGTTGCATACGTGACAGATGAATAGGAGTTATGTATTTTTTAAATGCACGGGTGGCTATTGACAGAGGGCCGGTCTGCAAGATGTTATGACTAAATTGACGAATGCATTATAAAATTTAAACATCCTCTCCACACGATGCGAGAAGACAGGCAGAAATGTCGAACCAACGCATTAGGTATGTCTATTTGTATTATTTTATGTATAATAATAAAAACTCACGATTTCGAAACACTCACAAAATGGCCAGCAAACAATCTGAGAATGGGTCAGATAGCTAGTGAGACTGATGATAAAGTACCAAACACAATAATGCGACAAATAATTAAAGTCGCCTATGTCAGACTGTCTATATGAAAATAGTCCGGTTATAAGGCCTAAACTGTTTAATTTGAGGCAGACCCAGATGAAGGTACAGGTCAATTAGAACGACCCCGCTCAAAACATAAACCAGAAGAATATGCAGGAAACCTGTACCTAATAGTGGATGCTTGTGGTTGATGGATGATAATATATTCCATCCCAAAAATATAAAAAAATTATAAACTTACCCAGAAAAGGTGATAGTTCACTCAAAAGACAATCACTGTGGAACCTGTGGTCGCAGGGAAACATGTAAAACGGTTTTATGAGTAACGTTTTGTTGCACACTTCGCAAGTATCTGTAGTATTAATGATTGTATGATGATTTCTAAATGACTCTATTTCCTCTCTCACTTGCTCTGCAGATTTAGTGGCTTCCTCCATTTCGTCTTTTACATTTTGAATATGTTGATTATATTCCTAAAAATATACAGTTAACAACACAAACTTTGTAGCATGGTAGGTAAAAAAGTGAATGCAGAAACTTGTCGTTTTGTTACTTACCTTCAGAGAATTACAAATGGCATCCTTAAAGTAGTCGATTGTGACAAAATCTGGAAAGAACGGTAAAATATCTTCAATCTTTATAAGTTCACACTGTTGTAAGAACGCCATGATTTCTTGAATATCGTCCTTATCTTTTACAACAAATTCAGCTGAAATAAAAGACCAGTAAGTAAATAATATTGACAGAATAAGTTATTTTTGATACCTATTTTGAGCCAAAGTTTCTTTTTCAATTCGACATCTTCTTCAGGCGACATAATGGCCATTTTCTTAGCCAAACTTAATTCTATAGTAAGCGCCAAATCTACAGCTGCTTTCCACATTCCTAATAGTGCAAAAAGTTGTACACAAGCTCGTTTTTGATTGTGTTCGTGACATAATCTCAGCGCATAATGTATATCGTAATTTATCTGTAAAATATCAATATTATTGTTTTGACAAGCACATAAAATATATCAATGAAAGAGATTACTAGCTAAAATATTTTTTATTTTTATCACAACCTTCAAACCGGCTTACTAACCAAAGTTTTATCGACATCAAATACTAATACATATTCCTTGTTTTATCAATGTTTTTAAAGTGTACGTCGAGATTTTAACACAAACGTTTTGAGAAATAACACCAAAGAAAAAGTTCGGTATCTATTTAAACGAGCTAAAGAATCAGACCACTTGGGACCAATATGACAAGTCCCTAAAAGAGTACAAGGTCATGAGTACAACAAGGTCATCAGAAAGGCCAAACAGGAATCGTGGAGGGAGTTCTATAAGAGTATATCATATTTAATTGCAAGCACCAGACTTCACAAGATTATCGCCAAAGATACGAAACAGGAAGTAGGCTCGATAAAAAGACTGTGGTAAGGAAACAGAGGTTCTTTTACAGAAACACTTCCCAGGCAATTCTGGAGGACATACAACCCGTGCCCCTTCCTTCTAAGAAATCTACCGCACGACCCAAGAAGGAAGATTGGAAATACGTTACAAAAGTTGTATCTCCAAACGCCGTGAAATGCGCGATTAATTCATTTTCCCCTTTCAAATCACCCAGATAAGCAAATGTCCTGTCCTGCAAAAAGAACAGGAACCCTCCTAGTGAGACTATTTAGAGCAAGCCTGGTGAGGAGCTATATTTCGCTAGGGTGGAGGATGATAAAAGTTGTGTATATAAACAAGGCTGGTAGATACCTCCTTACCAAAATCCTACCGTCCACTCTTTCTAATATCCTTCCTTTTGAAGAATATAGAGAGAATTCTAGATAAGCATGGCATATTAGAAAAGGAAGTTTTCGGACAAGCCGACCCACTAACACCTGTTATTTTCAACCCCATCATCCTTAAAGACTATCATTTGGGGTGCATGTTTGGATGTGGCCCCCCTGATAAATGTGTCCTCCCTGATAAATGTAGGCTTCCCACTGGTGTTGTGCGCTGCCATTTCTCCAGTGAGGTAGTCGCGTCTCTCATCCGCAGTTGGGGACCTCCATTGTGGGAATTTGATATTTATGTCACCCAGGATGATATATTCCCTGCAGAGGTCGAGTATACTGTCAGTGAATGAGGCTATCCCGATGTTTGGAGATATATATCCCACTACCATATTGAAATTATCTAGCTGCAATCCCACGTAGCTTTGATTGGAGCAAATGCATTTTATTGGAATTTTCATATTTCTGAAGTAGACGGCTACATCCAACCTTTGATAAGTAATCCCGCTATAAGAATGTTTAACATATTTTTTATTTGGTTCGCTAATCGCCAGGTTGGCCTGCAATACCCTGATATTATCCTTAGTTAGTTATGTAGGGGATTTGTGGCGCTTGTCACACTTGCCATGCTTACTCTTCTAGTACCCAGACCTATTCGGTTATGCCGTGCAACCGCCACCAGTTGTTTAAAATACGGGCACCTGATTCGCTATGTGTTGCACCGTGCAGCATTTCATGCAATATGCTTCGTTTGTGTATTCCTTAGCCTTAATTGTGACAGTGCTGTCTACTAGTTTTTTGTGTGCCTTGTCTTTGGCGTCCCCAACCCTGTTCCAACTGCAACTAATTATGTTCCTGTATTGTGGAAGATTCTCCAGGATCTTCCTGCACTTAGGCCGGTCTAAACTGTCTACTGCCGCCAAGATCATCCTCTTTCCTCCTTTGTCGTCTCCTCTTTCAGTTTTCGAAGTATTTCGTACAACTTAGGGGAGTCTGTTCCTGCATCCAAGGGATCACCTGTTTTGTTTTCTCCGAGCAGTTATTTGTATCTACCAGGAATCTGATTTTCTCCTGTACCAACTCGCCTTCTTGATATAACTCCGTGACCTCGCAGTACCTATCTGCCAGCCATTCTGCTAAGGCCCTTTTCCCAGTTCTCTAAGTAGTTTAGTAACACAAAGAGATCCCACTCATCATCTGACTTAACGGGGTATATTGTCTCATCTCTTGTAACTTTATAGATGTCCCAGAAATCACTGGATGTCAAACGGATTAGGGTGATAGCATTGGATAAAAAAAAATAGTAAAAAAGTAACAGAAATAGTAGCAAACAAGGCGATAAGAAACACTTCGAAAATAATGAAAATCGACGCTACTCTGACATAATGGAAATGAGGGAATAAATGGATATAGTAACAGTGGAATTAATGGATATAGCAGTGACGGACCAGTGTGATAGTACGGGGATCGGAAGGGTAGAAAAAGAGCACTTAAAGTTTTACATAACATAATTCATATGCCGATTGTCCCTATTTGTTATCCCAAATTGGATTCTCTGTACCCTATAGAGCAACTAGGAATGCTAACACACAACTCTCCCAATCTTTCTATAGAACAAATTATAGTGTTCATTCTTTTATTCATAGAATAATAAGATCTGCTAATCGACTTAACATGGAATTAATTATTTCTAGAACATAATTTAGTAAACATTTACGTATATGTGAGTTTAGATTTTTAATTAATTGTATATTAATATTTAATATGCATATATTTCAAATTAATTCATTATTTAATTACTATATGTATTCTGTATTATGTTTTAATGGACTCTGACACGTAAATTAATAATGTGAAGAAAGAGAAAGTGCGATTCGGGTAACACTTTAGTGTATATATCATAATCGACATAAACGCCAGTAGCATCAAATTTCAAAATGAATTGGTATTTTTGCACAAATAACTTACCATTGTGATTTCCTGTCCTTGAGAATTCAAATACTCCATAAGTTTATCTGAATCATATTTAGAATATAGCGAAATCAGAAAATTGTGAATAGCTTTATCGGCATTCTTCAATTTATCTATACAAAATTCTAAATATTTAATAATCTCCTTGGCGTGCAGTTCGCTGTTACACGTTACCATTGCAGGAAGAAGTTTTAAGGGTGCCAATCTTTTTCCTTGCTCTATGATAACTTTAATGGTGTACTTTGGAATTTCTTGAATAAGTATCGGAGCAAACTGATAGTAAAGTTCGTAGTTATTTTGGCTTTTCAGTGTATCCAGGGCGTCGTGGAAATTGTTTTTAAATATGTGTTGTCGGACTATCTGAAATTTGATAAGATTTTTTTGTTTAATTTTATGCAGGAACTAGAAGAATTAAAAAAAAATTCCAATTGTATTATGCAGCTACAAGGAGCTACATTTATAAAATAAATTTGACTATACCGAACGCTCCATAACCATAGAACAATTATCAAGGTCCTTTCTGTAAATGGAGGATTTTTTATTATTTAATTTTAACTTCAATAGGCTTTACAACATGATGCGGGTAATTGAAGATGTTACTATAGGTACTTCATTTTAAACTAGGCGGAACGAATTCAAGAGTTACAAGGAAACGTTACTAAAAAAGTTAGTGGATATAATTTTATCAGTAAATTTAAATCTGACTTTTGTATCGTTTGGAGCAAAACATTTTAAAACTTTGTTGTGAATGCATTGAAGTGAACATTTTATACACGTACAACATTTTAAACACAAAAAATATACCTTACAATGAGTTGAACAAGGTATAATAGGAAAAGGCTGTGGCAAAGTCACTAAATTTTCCTTTAGTTTAATTATAAAAATGTTCAGTTCAGGTTAATTTTCGCCTCTTAGAGTTCTCAAGAACCCCGTATTTTTATTTCCTAAAAATTCCTGTTTTTAAACATTTGCGAAAACCTCCGTAAATCAAAATATATTATTCTTTACAGAAATTCGAATCTAGCTTTAAACGCTCAAATTCAGGTACATTATCTGACCACTTTTGCAGATGTCAAAAGGACATTTTATCAGTCCTCCGATTTGCAAACAGTGGCTACTCCCACTCGTAAACCCAACTAGTCCGAACATAAATTGAATCGGTGAGTTCAAAATCAGCCTTCCGAGAAAAACGATAAAAAGTCACGAATATGTACGGTTTTTCGCCTAATTTCAGGGGTGGAATTAGAGGTACTACGTTAACGACTAGGTATCTAGTACGATTTTTAAGCTAAATCGATGAAGAGACAAGTTTTAAACAAAATGGCTATCTTACTTTAAAATATCAAATTTTGGACATGTACGGTTGTCGAACTCACCGATTCAATTATAAATCTGAGATCCCCGCGAATTCTCTCTCTTTTCCTATCTTTTTCGTGTGCAAGTTCCCGAAGTTAGTAACACCGTTAATACCGTCGTTTTTTAATTTTCAGAGTCTGTTATAACTGTTGGAAATAATTGTTGGAAATTAAGGTAGGAATCTTTCATTATTAGCTTTTACTATTAGGATTTATTTCGTTATTCTGTGGGTCAACCGTCGCTTGTAAAATATTAGCAAAGAAATAATTTTTATTAGTTTTTAGTTAATTAGTTTTTACTAGTTTCGAATTGTGTAGTGATCAAATACAAAATAAAATATAATAGTCCATTGAGGAATACAATTTAGGTAAAAACACATTCATCCATAGTTTTTGATTCCACGAGCTAGATATAGGCATATCTGCGCAAAATACATTCATTCACAATTCAATCAAGACATTGGTGTCTGGAGTGAGCCTGCAACACAAGGCGAGGACTGCTAGTCAGATACAAAAGCAGACAAAGGGTGAGTGAGTCTTATTCTGATAATCTTTGGCTCTTCATGTCGGACAAAAATAAATCAAAAGACAAAGACTTGTTAATTCAAAAAAGAGCGCTTTGCAAAAATTGTGCGCTTTAAATCATATTTAGAGCACAATCTACATCCGAAGGTATTTGAATTAAAAGTGAGACGGTCTAATTTAGAAAAGCACTTTGAGAATATAAAAATAGAAATATATGCAATTACAATGGTTTGAAGAAATTTATTATGAAACGTTATCACATGCGGATGAAATGTTGAAAAAATTTAATGGTAAAACAGATATAGGTTTTCGGCAATAAAATTACCACCGATTAATATTCCAAGATGGTAGTATTCATAAATGGGACAATTTTCATGATCTATTTCAGTCCTTAATTGAGGATAATGTCACACTGACAACAGTTCAAAAATAACTAAAATCATCTTTAGAATGAGATGCATTGAAAATTGTATCAAATCTTGATACTTCAGAAGCAAATTACAGAGTTGCTTTGAATTTATTACAAAAACGTTATGAAAACAAAAAAAGGGTTTCATTAAATTATATCGTGTCACTTTTTGAGCTACACTCGATTCAAACGTTCCAAACACATATTGGTGTTTTACAGCAGTAGGGTTATCAGAAAAGGCACTTTTAGATTTAATATTGATTTCACTTTTGTTCTCAAAGTTGAATAAAATCACGCTAAAGCAGTGGAATCAAAGGTTTCAAAGAAACATGATTTACCGACAAAAAAGTCCAATGACAAAAGAAGAAAATGTATGTGAACTTCATTTTCAACACAATTTTTCGTGCAATCAACATGGCAGGTTCGTAGTAAGACTTCCATTTTAAGATAATGTAATTTATTTGTCACAATAAATGGCGTTAAAAAGATATTATAATTTAGAAAAAGGGTTTGATGGCAATCTTGAATTTAAATCAGAATATTCCAAATTCATGAAAGAATATCTTGAATTAGGCCACATGTCTTTGGTAACTAATGATGATAATCAGGGATATTACATGCCACATTATGCAGTTTACAGGGTGAGTCATGAGGAACCTTACAGACTTCTACCATATGTAGAGTCCCTTAAGGGGTATATCATATGAGCATTAAAAAGTGGCAACTCCCCTTCGTTATTAATATACGGGGTGTTTTGTGAATTTTGACCAAACTTTATATGGCCGTAAAATCTACAAGGATTACTAGATTTCTTTAATTTTTTGGTGGAGCTTTACACTGGTGTCTATCATTTAATTCATATCCTCAAAAGTTAAAAATTCCAGGATTGGCCTCGGAAAAATTAATCTCGACGATTCATATCAAAAAGTTCGCCCTGTATAAGATTTTTTAAAATTATAATAAGATATTTTTAAAGTACATAGATAGAAAATCAAAACTGTGTATGTGACATTTTTGTCACATCTTCTTTAATTTTTTTATTAAGTTTTGATTTTGAGCAAAACTGAAAAATCAACTTAAGGGGTCACATTATAATGTTAAAACTTAAAGAAAAAATTATTAATGGTATACATTTGAACTAAAACGAGTCTAACATAAGCCTTTAGTGCCTACACCGTTAATATAATTTTATTCAATTTCCAGGCCTAGTTATAAATTTTTAATTAATTTTTAAACAAAAATCACCCTGTACATTTTTGGAGACTCAAATAAATTAAACATAAGTTCATATGTATTTATTAGAAATATTTTATTTCGTTTAAATTTCATCAACAAACAATAAATAAATTTTAACGAATTAGAATAACGAACAACTAAGAAATTTAAAAAAAAACTAATACTACATACATAGAATAATGATAACATGTATACTAGAAAATAAAATCATGGTAATAAATTAACAATTACAGTAGTTGTTCGAAATGAAACCCTCCAGCTTCTACGCATTTTTGCTGCCGAATCGTTAAGTGCCTTATTGATTTACGGATAGTCAAGGGATCGTTTCTAATAACATTAGAGCAAAGGATAATTCTATCAATTAATTGTTGTCGGTCATTAATATTTTGTGAATATACTAATTCTTTCAATCGTCCCCAAATATAGTAATCTACGGGGTTAAAATCTGGGGATCTTGGAGGCCATGAAATAGGACCTGCACGTCCTATCCATCTGTTGCCAAAAACATTATTTAGATGGTTTCTTACCGCAACTAAAAAATGAGGCGATGCTCCATCATGTTGGAAATACATCCCTCGGATACCTACGTTGGAAGTAAATTAGGCAAAGTATTTTGCAAAAAGTCTAAGTAAACTTGTCCTCTTAAAGGGCCATCAAAAAAGTGAGGTCCTATAAGTTGGTTATTTATCACACCAATCCACACGTTCACAGAAAACCTTAACTGAGACCGAAACTCTCGAACAGCATGGGGATTGTCTACTGCCCACACATGTAAATTACGGGAATTATTTATCCCATCCCTTGTAAACTGTGCTTCATCTGTAAACAATGTTCTATACAGTACTGGTCTATGATTTGCAATCCACCTACAAAATTCCAACCTATGGATTTCATCTCCAGGGTGTAGCCGCTGAACTAATTGAATATGATATGGGTGTAAATTATTTTTTCGTAAGACTAGTCACTTTTGATTGGGTAACATAAAGTTGTCGACTTACTTTACATCAAGAATATTATCTTCCTGCTCATGATCTACATTTCGTTCTGTATTTGCTTTAGGGAATGTGCCATGTTCTCGCAAATAATTAAAAACTGATGCAAATGTTGAATGACAGGGAACTCGACGACCAGGAAATCTTCTATGATATTCTCTTGCTGCAGCTCTGCCATTCCCATTACAGAATCCGTACATAAAAATGATATCTGCATATTCTGCATTTGAAAACTTATGGGGCATTTTGAATAACAACACCAACAACAAAAATTCTAACACTATTGTAAAATAGATAAAACAAAGCGAAATATTATTTTACACGTATAAATAATGGTTGCAAATGACAAATAAATAAGAACAAACAAACGTCAAACTATCACAACCTACCTTGATACATAGGTACCTACTAGGTATTTATAATAAAAATAAAACCACATAATATCTTAGTTGCAAGAATAAAATGTGCAGTTTTTATTAGAGGTTAATAAATAGCATTTATTATTATTATTTATAAGTGTGAATTTATTGTTCGTTATTGTTATTGGCTACAATTTATTTATTGATTATTGACATGTTTAATTTAGTTGAGTAGTTTCTATAGTCTACAAAAATAGGCCGATTTCTATTTAAAATTTAAAAATGAACTAATCCGGATCTGGAAATTGTCGAAAATGAATTTAACGATCTAGTAAGCTCACTAAAGGCTTATGTTTGGCTCGTTTAGTTCAAATGCATACAATTAACAATGTTTTCTTTATGTTATAACATAATTTATGTGACCCCTTAAGGTGGTTTTTCAGTTTTACCCAAAATCGAACCTTAATAAAAAAAAGGTGACAAA